TACTACCCTATTGTGTAATTTGAAAGAGGAGGCTTCTGCCTTTTGAGCTCGGGAAGTTGGCAAGGAGTAAAATGATGAGGAGGATGGGAAGCCGCGTATCTGTTTCAATTAAAGAAATTTAGTGTTTAGTGCCACAAAGCTGAAACATTAGTCAGACATTCCTGTTGGGAGAACTGGCAGGAAATAATATGATTTACAATCTGGGGTATGTCTGCAACATAAAAGGAAGAGAAAAAGTCATTTGCTGGTTGCGTACTTCTGGTCCTGGATTAATTTACGGAGGTATTTTGCTTGTAAGCCGACCAGCGATCAAAGCGCTCTGATGTGTGATTGCTTCAAATTGCCTAAGTTAAGCAAATATTCTATTTTCGGTGTCCCTTTGGGTTTTCATCTTTTATTTCAGTTCTCTGAAAATTGAGATGCCAGCTTATGCTTGAAGTTTGGTGACTTTTCAAATTCCAGGCTGGAGCAAATCTGAGTATGGAACAGCATGCAGACCTCCAGGTCATCACCAGGGGCCTGGCAGCCATGCCATTTCAGAGCCAAGCCAGAGTGTTCAACTGGTAAACATGGGCAGCACGGCACAAATAATAGATGTTTTTACAAGTGGTGTGTTTTTTTTACCTTAATCATAACTTGTGAAGTCATTTTTAGGTCATCTAGTTCTTCTCAACTTGCATCAGAGACTGGAAACGGCGTGGGTCAGTGTGGCATAGCCAGACCTGGTGTGGATGGGCATTATGCTGGTTTCTAGTTGGAAAGATTTGCTGGCCCAAGTAGCTTATTTCCCAGAACAGGCTGAAATAAGTGCTCAGTGCAGCAGCACTTGGCTGCCTCAGCTGGTTTCTCTTGGTTCAGGAGCAAGCTCAAGGCAGTGCTGATATAGGAAGACAATGCAGAAGTGAAACCAGACTGGTTTTCTTTATGAAGAAAATGCTGAATTCTGTTTGAGCTCAACAGCAACGTAGGCAAATGAGCAGGAGTCATCCAAACACAGCTGTGGGGGCCAAAGAATTCAGTCTGCAGTGTTGTGAAATGTGGTGGTCAGCCTTGGAAATGAGCCTTCTAAAGCCTGGAGCGTGGGTAGCTGGCAATGGAGAGTTGGGAAAACCTGGGAAAGCAGCCTATGATTTTCTGTGAATGTTTGTAGTGACTTCCTTACTCTGTGTAGCTTACATCCACTTTCATGCTAGCTGCCTACATATTTAAGGTCAGAGGAGTCCCTTGCTCTTGAATAACAATGACCTTAACATGCCCCTCTTTCAGGCATTGGAACGTGGAAACATAATAGTTTACTACACAATCAACAAACCCTCCTCAAAACAATCAAACAACACTGTAGTAGCTTCCTGACTTCTTTCTTTGTGGCTTCTGCATTGAAGGACATTTGTCCATCCTCAGCCTTCTAACACTATTCCGTTCATACAGTAGTAGGCAGTAAATAAACATGTACACAGCCTCTGTGCTCTTAGATAACTGATTTTTTTTCAGTCTCAGTGCTGTGCTGAGGTGAGCAGAGACTTGGGGTTGTTTTGAGGGTGTCTGGTGTGCTTGGCTTATTTGCTAGAGACTGCAGAGAAGAGCAGAATGCAGGCAGAGGAAGCTAAACAACCATTCCTGTAGACACATTCATAACGTTTTGCCCTGCGGTATATGGGAGCAGTATAGCAGATGCTTAAGTGAAGATTGTAGATAGCCAGATATCTTAGAGGAAACTTATTAAGAGGTGCTTTCATCTTGACTAATATTTTCAGTCTTTGAGATTTCTATGATCTCTGAAATCCTTCAGTGACTTGAGCTGTAATAAAACTTCGTTTAGAATTTCTGTCTGAACTCCCTACTCCTCCACAGGAGTTCTGTGCTGGATGTAACAGTGGGATGGGGGAAAGCAGGCTGGTATCAAGTAAACACTAAGCTCATTAAGTCCTGCAGCCTCAAAGCGCTTGGCTTTGAGTCCAGGCTGAGAGAGAGCTGTCTGATCACCTCACCAAGCAGAGGGATAAGCCTCTCCATGGTTAAAGGCAGGAATTCTGCAGTGTTTTGTCTAGAGGTCCGTGAAGAAACTGTCTTCAATATGCAATTTAATGACAGCTTTAAGCAAGTGGAGATCTAGAAGAAGTGAAATTAGAGTGGAGAGATGAATGGGCTTAGTTGTCTGTATTGAGGTGAGATGTATTCTGAGCACCTTTCTCTTGCACAGTTTGTGTAAGAGTTTTATTGAATTTCCTATTAAAATACCACTGTCAGAATCACAGAAAAATGTGTTCCTGGAAGTGTTCGTTCTTCTGTAAAATCAGGAAATGTGTGCTGCTGGGTTTAGCACCTTAGATGTGATTCCTCTTAAATATCTACAGCTATTCCAGATATACCCAGCTGGGGTGGAGATTGGAACCAAAGGATGTGTGTGACTACAGGCCTGGTTCCTAAAAACCTCGCTTCTCCAGCACAGAAAGAGTCAGGAGCATTTGCTCCTGGTAGAATTAGCCATTCTCTTCTGAAATAGGGCATAACGAGTGCATCCAGCACCCAAACATATGGCTGTGCAGTTGTGTGTGCTTTGTATTGCCTTCTTGTTTGGGCCAGCGTGGATTTGTGCTGAGTTAAAGTCACCATACAGCCACAGGCTTAGGCACAGGGATGCATCAGAACCTGCCTTTATTTCAGTGCTTTAAGGGATCTACAGGCAAGCCATTTAAATATTATTTAAATACTCTGCAAAAAGGCTGGAATCCTGCTGTTCAGCCTTGCTTCTGCTTCAGGAAAAGATATGCTTCTCGTTGGTGTATGCCTGGATATTTTTGGGCTTTTCTTGGTTGCACACAGCCACTTGTGCCAGCTGTGGCTGAATGCCTTTAAGAATCTCTGCCTTAAGCAGTCTTGCTCATGTATTTTCACAGCTGTTAATGAATATACTGTTATAAAAATGTCAGTACAAGTTCTTCTGGTTATCCATAAAAGGATTCTGCAACTGCAGAAGATAATCCTTCACTCAGTGCAGTTTATTTTGAAACTGCCGTGCTATAAAACACCTTCTCTGAGGTTGCACTTTAACAGTGGTTTTTAACATTATTATTTCCCTAGTTTTTTGTCTGTCAAACAATTCCAGCTGGCAGAGCAGGAGAGAGCATTTCCATGAGCATTCCCACGATCCCCAAGCATGGAGCACGACCTTGCAATCACACACCAGCTCTCCTGTGATGTAAGAGATAGCAGGAGGTAAAGATAATACTTGATGTGGTAGATCTCCTGCCTGGGCTTGGCTGTTGCAGAGGGGCACTCGTAACCCATCTCAATAATGCCTGAGGGGTGGTTGCAAGAAGTGAGTTTTCCTTTCTTTCTATTTGAAGAAGGACACGAGATGTTGCTGTCATTGGGGAGCTGGGATTTTTGTCCCTTAGTTTCTATCTATGCCCAGGGGTTATTCTTCAACTCATGCCTGGATTGGTGTTTCATCTTCAGCTGATGTGAAACATTTGACCCCTCCTAGGAAGAGGACTGTTCTCAGTGTGGAAAGTAAGAGGCTCATAAGCAGTATCTGGAGGAGCTTCCTGTTCTTGAGCTTGTGACCACGGGACAGCTAATGGAGAACAGCAGCACCAGGGCTGTGGGTTTCTCTGCCTTTTGGTTCTTCTCTCCAGGCTCATTTCTTCTGAAGATTTGCTTGTCACATTACCCAAGCGCTTAAAGAGTGTGGGGATTGAAAGCATCCTCCTTCTATCACAGCAGGTGACTGCCATTAGCTTGTGCTCTCCGTGCAGAGAGGTGAGTTGATGCCTACCTGCCTGTAGAGCTGGAGTGTTTTTCCAAAGGTGATGCTCAATAACCTCAGAAATAACTACACAATCTCCCCAAACCGGTCTGTCTGACTTGCTGTCCGTGCAATACTTACCTTTTGATAATGAATGGGCAGTGCCTTTTTAGATCTATTTTCATGAAGCTTGACTTCCCACTGCTTCTCCTTGGCATGGGGGCTGCTACTTGAATCTTGTGGTAATGCAGCTGCTTCAGTTTTAAAGCCTTTAAGTATATCTTAGAGCTTGGTTGAATGTAGGAGGAGAAAATTAAATTTAAGCTTGTTGTAAATGGGTGTCTAGAAGTAGAGAAACAAAAAGGGAGGGGAAGAAGCAGTGAAAAAAAACAAGCTTGCTGTGCTTCAGAATGGTGATGTGCTGATGAAAGGAATGTGCTGTTGGGTTTGCAGGGAAGTGACTCTCACCCTTGGTGAGAAGAGCAAAAGGTTGTGCTGGGAACTTAGTTCTGCTCACTGAGTGTCTGTGATAATGTCTGTTGCAGATTTTCTAATTCTGAAATGATTTTTAAGCTTTTATCTTTTTCTGTGTGGAATTTATTGAGAGGCCAACTGTAATAAACCCCACTGAGTATGTTGCTGTGGTTTCTCAAGAGAATTAAAGCTGTTGATTCCTTAGATACAGGCAGCTTTTGGTTTGTCTTTTGGAATAAGAAGGAAATAATGGATCATACTTTGTGCATGTTTCACTTTGTTTTTTGGTAAAGCTGAAGGAGGAGGGGAGAGATCTGTCAGAACAGAATTTGCCTTGGGTACTGATTGTCTTGAGCTGAATGACACAACACGAATGAGGAAGAGCTAAAATTGTTTCAGGAGAAGGAACTTTCAGTTCCCTAACCCAGATTAATCTTGAGATAGCATGGAAAAACATTGCATTGAATGTTTCCTTAAGTGTAGGAGATGGTTTTGGTGAGGACTGGACTGCTTGGTGTTAAATTGCTGGCATGGCACCAGCTTAAGCTGTGCCCTTTGAACTGGGCTCTAGAACACTTCTTGCAATACCAAGTGAAAAATCAGTGATCAAATGGTTCCAAACGGTGTTTTATCAAAATGTTTTGATGTAAAACATTCTGCAGATTAGAATTGCTGTATCTCTCCCCATTAGGAGGTTGACAAGCACCACAGTTCTAGTTCACCAGACTTTGTGCTTATCTGTACATGCTGTAACAGAGGGATGTTCTTGTTTCTGCAGAGTGACCAGCAGCTGGATTGTGCCTTGGATTTGATGAGGCGTCTGCCTCCACAGCAGATAGAGAAGAATCTCAGTGACCTCATTGACTTGGTGAGTACTGCATGCTCCAACCAGATGATGACTGAGTTCTGGGTGTGACAGATCTGGTATGTAAGAACATTTCCTGGGGCATCTCCCAGGTATGGTGATCTGCAGTTCTCTCCTCCTGTTTTGGCACAGTTGAGGAACTGTCCGAACAATGCCAGGAATCTGGGTGTTTGTTCTGGGCAGACCAGCAGGTACTGCTGTGTGTGCATGGAGATGCTTTTGGGTAAAGGATCATCAGCACCTTTCTTGATGAAGTTGTCATCAACAGTTTGAAGGCTGCTTTTTATTACAAATAACTGAAGAGTTCACACAAGTTGGGTGCACGCCTTTGTACTGAGTATTCTCTCCAGATTAGCTACTTTCCAGTCTGCAGTTTGACATGGAGACTTTTACCATAGATGCAGCAGATATGCAATGACACGTGCTTCAGAGGCCTTACTGCAACAAAATATTGCAGGACTAGAGCACGGCAGTTCTGGAGAATGCCCAGATCTATTTATATGTTATGACATACCAGGTATTCTGCAGTCCAGTGAATATCCAAGAAAGAACCCTTGCCAACTACCTTGTGCTGATACCTGTTTTCTGCTTGCCCATGGAACGTTCATTATCCTGCCATAAATTGGTTTCAAAGTAACTTCAGTCTTACACAGTACATGTATTCCCATTCTCAGTTGCATAAGGTTGAGTTGTGCATTCTGTGAAGTGATATGCTATGCATTTGGGTTTATAATGGACTTGTTAGTGTCAGCTATCTCTGAAAACTGTGTGCCACAGTTGCCTCTAGAGCAGGCTAAAGTATTATTAAATGCAAATGTAATCTGTATAGAACCAACTGTAGAGGAGGCTGGGAAAATGTTTTTCCACTGTCCACACTGAATATGATTTATGCTTAACAGTTTTCTGTCCTGAGCTTTCAGACTTTTGTAGACAGGGATGTTGAGTTTGGAATGGAGCTGTAAGACCTTTGAATTAAGACTTTTCTCCTATCTTCCTGTGAGAATTGCAGCCCTATCATTTGGTGGATCTGAATCTTACACATGACTCTCAGACAAGATTTGTCAGCCACTTAAAAAACCTGTGGTGGTTCTGCATATAGCATCTACTTGAACTGATACCTCTTATTAAACTGCTTAAATTGCATCCAAGCTGTTTGCCATCTTTGTGTGCAGAAGAGTGGCTGCTTAACAGGGAAAAATTTAGCTGAGAAGTCTGTTCCTAAGTAGTATTGCAGCTGGTGTTGGTGAACTTGGGAGGAGTCCTATGGTGAAAGAGCTCTGGCTGACTGAAGTTGATCAAACTCTGTTTAAATATTGCATTTGGTTACATAAGCCAAGGTATAGGTAAGAAAGCTCTATGGGTCAGGGAAAGAAATCATTCCCTCCAGGAAGGGATTATTTCTCTTTCTTGAAACCATTTAGTAATTGTCTACATCTGTGCCACCAAAACTCTTGGCAGTTTAAGGCATCATTCTTGTGGCTGTTGCTGGAGGTAGGACACAATAACTAAATCCTGGTTTGATCTGGTATGATACAGTGGGTTTTCTGATGAAATATGGAGGAATGAGTGGATATCAAGGTTTGATCAACTCCAAGGACCATCCAGAACAATGAGTTGTTTAGGGAGCCATGGTAAGCCTGACTGTATAATTGGTATGAGGCTTTTCTAATGACTCAGAAAATTGCTAGTTACCTCTCAGTGTTGGAATTACTTTTGGATGGTGCTCATTAGTGTTCTACATGCTTTCCATCAGCAGCACGCTCTGGGGGCTTCTTTTCATATTGAAAGTGTAACATGAAACAGACCAGTTTGAAACATGCTTAGGAGGAGGGGATCAGTATGATTCCCTCACTGGTTCCTGCAGTCCCTTCTGCGGGGTGGAGATGACATAACCTATTAAAGCCAGTATGATTTATTTATTAGTGAGACATTTGTAAACCTCTTCTGCAGCCCACTCTGAGCCTGACCTCCACAAGACAGAAGCCTACAATATTTAGATAAGAGCAGTACATACACTGCCACCTTGTAAGAGTTCCAAAAACATCATGAGCCAGCCTCTAGCAAATAGTTTTTTGACCTTTCTTGGCAGGTCTCATCCAAACCTTTACAGCTGATGATTTTTATTCTGTTTGCTTTACCATTACCAGACAATAACCTCCTTGATGTAAAAGGTCAGGCCTACATGCATGAGCAGGTTCATTAAGTTTGTGATAGAATTATAAAAGATGGCACCTTGACTTCTGCTTCCTTTGTATTTGGTTTCCTTGCTTCATTACACTTCCATGCTGGAGTAGACTTGGAGCAGAGACCTGAGTCTTGTTTTGTTTTTTTTTGACTCTCCTGTGGGAAGTATACATTATTCCATGGTCTGTTTGCAGTTCAGCTTTCCATCTTTTGATAAGAGTTGATCTGCAGAATGATGCATAGCTACTGTTTTGATGCTTATTTAAACTTGTTGAAAGACATGGATGGTAACTTAAACGTGTCTTTGTATGCAAAGTGTTTCCACAACAAATGCAGGAAGAAAGTAACATCTATTTGCTAGGCTTGTCATGCTGCTGGGAGGAATAGCTGTGCTAAGTTTTCTGCCTCAGGTCCCTGTTTTGCTACACCCAAAGCTCTGCTTTTTAATAAAAGAGCATTTTGGTGCCAGAAAGTGTATGGAATACATTCAAGGCTGTCCATTACTGCCCCCAAGCGTCAGGCTGACTAGGCAAGGGGTCCAAACTTGAACATGAAGTAAAAGACTGGGGGAAAGAATAGGATTTTTGGGTCACTGGCCCTCATCAGACCAGACACTTTTCATTCATTAGCAAAACAGTTTGTGGTTTGCCCTTTTACCACATCTGTTGTTGCTTTTTCAGACTGCAGAGTCCTCAATTAGAGTTCATTAGAGACCTTGTCAATCAAAGGACTCAGCAGCCCTGCCTGAAAGAAGCTGTGCAGGGTGCTGGTGATGTGCCTTGGCATGGAATGCACTGCTTGGAGTTCAATTAGTTGTTATTTGTAAAATAGACTACTTGGAGGCTGTCAGAATGTGCAAGAGGACTTCTAAATCACTAGCAAATGTATTTAGTGCAGGTATATGCCTTTTTAAGGGCAACATATTTAAACTAAAGTGTTTTTTTCTGTGTAAAGTCTCTGGAAAATTGTATGAGGGAAGCCTTGGAGCCTGTACCTGTGAGCCAAGTGTGGGATGTAAAGCAGGATGCATGAAAAGGGCATGAAGTGATTGCACTGCTCATGCAAATCACACTTTCTGGCTCTAGTAAGGAGGCTGGTAGTGCTGTTAAATGGCATATACTGACAGATCAAACCCATTTGGGGGAGTTGTCCTCCTGCTTCCTTACTGCACAGCTGTCACTTTCAGAGTAAGTCAGTCCACATGTACCTTCAGCTGTGCTCTTTCCAAAAGAAACTGCACAGAAGACATCAGCTTTCAGGTGGAGATGTTGTGAAGGACCTCAGCTGAGGAGCACACAGCAGGTAGGTGAGCAGTGGCTGAGTCCCACCTTCCTGACACCTTTCCCATCACAGGATGGAGGAGGGGTTGGCTGTGCTCATGGGCCACGTGCATAAGTAAGGACTCTGCAACAGGGATGTCTTGGTGACTTTGGCTTCAAGTATGGAAGTTGATGTGCCCTCTGTGTTGGTAAAAGTGAAGCAGGTTCCTCTGCAAGTGAGAATTTCCTGCAGAGTGTTTAATATTTGGATGTTTGCCTGTGGGTGCATGTATAAATTAAATGAAAAAAACCCAGCTGACTCAGGAGAATCAGATGGCTGGCATGAAGGTGAGCATGGAGAATTGTCCTTATAAAACTTGATTGCAGATGGACAGGCAGGCTTGCCATGTACAGGGCTTGCTCACAGCCATGCCTTTCTTTGTCTCTCTCCCCAGTAAAGCTGGTGTTCAGCTTATCCCATTTTCATCCAGTGTTAAATGTGAAGGCCTTCTTGTAAAGACTCAAGTTCTTGTTGCTATGGAAGAAACAAAGCTTGAGTTCTTCTATCTATAAATCAATTGCTAACTTTGCTATGTGTTGTTTGGTTTCTCCCAAGGGTCATTTGCAGTTACAGTTTTGAGGGTGACCATCTTTGCTTGATGTTTCTCATCATAGGAGAATGCTTAACTATTTTAGTAGCACATGTTACTAAGGAGTCCCACAGTGATGAATTTATGCCTGCACAAGCTTCAGATGTTGAAATATTTGAACAATATTCATGAGCTTGCTTCACATAGCCTCAGATCTGCTTGTATGTCTTCAGTAACAGAAAATACATTAAGCTGGAGAATTTATCCTCTGGAATATTGCACAGACCATAAAGAACATGAGAATGTGACTGGAGCTTTATGTATTTGGAATCCAAAAGCCTGAGCAATCTGCAGTGCTGAGAAGAAAGATAAAATAATTGAGTGCAGATGGCTAGCTGAACTACTAGTGATGGTGGAAGATTTTTCTTCTTTTAATGAAAATTAAAATAAAATTCAGACTTAAAGAGTGGAGGCAGAAGGGCACTGACCAACCAGAGCTGGGTTTTGCTCTGCTGCTGGTCCTCAGCTTGCTGAGTGATGTGGTGGGCTCCAGGCTGGCAGCAACCAGTTGGCTAAGGAAAAGGGCTCTGGCTCTGGGTGAATTGATGGTGGGTGAGTGCCAGTTTTCCATTTGGTGAGTAGCTGTAAGCAGGAGCTTTTCCAGCTAGAAAAGATTCCCTATGGATACCTTGATGGCAACTGGACATCACAGTACATCTAAATTGTCCATGGAACACTTGGCATAGAGCTTGCAACCTCCCCATGCATGAGACCATGCACTTCTGTTTCACTTCTGGCTTCAATTTCACTTTTTCTTTTTAAGCCTAAACTGTACCTTTTTTTCTTCCAGGCTCTTGCCATTGCATTGCTGCTGTTAACAAATCCTTGAATTGCCTATTTAAATGTCTTCCTAAAGGAATGTGGGGAGGGGAATCGCTTGATGAGCTTGAATCCTAATTAGAAAACTATCTATGTTCTTTTAAATGTAGTGGGGCAAGTTAGACTATAGAAACGTTGAGGAAGGACTGGAGAGAGTATGCATGTCTCTGCCTTTCCCATGGCTGTCACTGGGTATCTCCACCACCAGCTGGATGCACAGCCAGGACTTCCCAAGATACTGATATGCTGTGACGGCTCATGGGACTCAGGACTGGTAATGGGATACAGAAGCCTTCACCTGGAGGTCACTAGTCAGAATGTGGGGCATCTCGTTGTGCCTGCCAGATGGCTAGCTTTTGTTTCTCACTAAGCTGCATAATGCTGAATCCAGCCCTGGTTGTCACCTTTCAGACAGTTTAGCTGCACTTCCTCGAGCTAAGCTGAAAATGTCAGTAATTAATTTCTGCCATGACATCATTAACTAGACGAACCTAGGTTTACAACCTAATTAGCATTTGCCTTTTGCCAGAAAAGCAAATTGATTTTTATTTCCCTTTTGCAAATTTTTACAGCACTGGACTTCAGTGCAAATACTTGAGTAAAGCTGAGCTGTTTCCAATATCAGTTATATCTGGCCTCGAACACAAAAGTCCATTTAAGTGTCATTTAATAAACAAAGTTTAAAGAATGTGTGGCCCTTGGACATCTGATGGATCAAATTAAGGTTTAGCAATGTGTGGATTTGTGGGAGTGACATTACTGGTGGTTTTAGGCCCAAGATGAGTGGAGCCAGGCTTCCTTCTAGAGTTTCCACAACATCCGTTATGCCGTGTCTGTGTTCTGCAGGAACAGGAAAATCTGAGGCTGTGGAATGACTCAAATTATAATAATATTTTATTAGATGCTAGCCTGGAGGGGAGGAACCCAGGCTGCAGGGGGGTCTTGTGCCAAAGCAGTTCTTCTGCAGAAGTGCTGGTCTTGCATGGGCTCTTCGTTTGCTGTGGAGTGATGCTTTGCCCAAGTGACACGTGCAGTGTTTATTGTGTGAGTTGTCTTAAAGACAAAGCAAATTAAAACCGTGAGTTCACACACATCTAAAATATGCATTTTCCTGTTTGCATGCAGGTTTTAATTAAAAACAACTTGTCATGTGTGCTTTCAGATAGCTGTGTGTTACAGACCCTGTATCAAACGACCAATGGATCTGAGTCCCTGCATTGCTAATCTTCTGGAGCTCACTCCATCTTCCTTCTGATTCACAGAATCACAGAATTGCCAGGGCTGGAAGGGACCTCAAGGATCATGAATCTCCAACCCCCCTGCCACATGCAGGGCCACCAACCATCCCACCTAATGCTAGACCAGACTGCCCAGGGATTCCTTAAGGAAAAATGTTTCATCTTTTAATTTTACTGCTTCTAACTTAGTTTTCCAGCAACGTGAGGTTCCTGAGGAGGTCAGAACATACTGACCTCTGCATAAACATGGAAAAAAAGAGGTATTTTTAAGCCCAGAACCTCACACTAACAATATTACTGCTTCAATTGCAAACATGATTCATTTCAGTCAAGGCTGCTGGAAAAAAACAATAATGGCAGTGTGTTCAGGTTGCAGGGCTAGCAAACCAACCCATTAGCTGTTCTGAATATGTAAGGTGAAGAATTTGATGCAATCCAATGAGCATGATCAAAGCCAAGGTGGAGAATGCACATCCGACGTGAAAAGCTGGAATTTACTTCTTTAACCTTTACTGTTCATTTACTTCAGTCTTTTTAAGAGGCTAATTCAAATGTAAGAATCAAAAAATGGCAGTAATTGTTTTGGTGATGAGTTATTTTACCAAAAAGTGAGATGAGAAGGAATCATTATTAAGTGAGCTACTGTGAGAAGAGTATGGTTTTGACTTTGGCACAAGTGATTATTTGTCATGATAGCAGTCGACTTAATTAAAACACTGTCCACATACCTGGCTTGCTCTGATGGGGAATATTGTTACACAGGACAACAGGAACCTTGTTCAACATGCAGGGGAGTATGCTTAACTCACTTTCATTCTGTTTCTTTTTCCTCTGTACTACGCATTCATTATATATCTACTCGGGGAAAAAAGCAATCCATCCCCCAAGCAGTGCCCTGTTGCATGGTATGTGCTGCTGAATGATGCTGCTATTCAGTTCCAGGCTGAGTCGAGGCCTCCCAAGAGCCCTCTTTTTTTCTTTATTGATTTACATTGAGGGTGGTCTCGTTCCACGGCTGTGCATGCGAGCTCCAGAATAGGTCATTGAGCTCTTATTTGTGGAAACATGGGTGTGCCATGGGCTGAATAGAATTAATGATGGCTTTTAGCTCAAGATACAAGGCTAAGATTATATTCTGCACGTGACCTGCTTAAAACGGGATAAACGGGTGTCAGAATAAAGATGGGAGAACACTCTTTGCTTATGAATCAATCCCATCCCTGTACAGCCAATGTTTTCATTGCAGGAACACTTACAGTGGGGTGATGAATCAAAACAACTCTTTGAAAGGGTAGATAACAACAGGACAAGGGAAAACAGCTTTAAGTTGAAGAAGGGAAGATTTAGGTTGGGTGTCAGGGGGAAGTTCTTTGCTATGAGAGTGGTGAGGTGCTGGAACAGCTGCCCAGAGAGGCTGTGGATGCCCTGTCCATCCCTGGAGGTGTTCAAGGCCAGGTTGGATGGGGCCCTGGGCAGCCTGGTCTAGTATTAAATGTGGAGGTTGGTGGCCCTGCATGTGGCAGGGGGCTTGAAATTCATGATCCTTGAGGTCCCTTCCAATCCAGGCCATTCTGTGATTCTGTGAAATCACTGCTTTACATTTCAGGATTTGCCCTGAGAAGTGGGTTTATTTGTGCTGTTTTAAATGCAAGCCAGAGTTCTCTTTCTGATGACTGTTGGAGACAGATGCACTTACTCAGGCACCCACTGCCTTTTGGCTTTCCCATTAACACAGCAGAAACTAATGAGAGAAGTTCACAGTGCTAATGTACTTGCCTGGAACCTTTGAATGACAGCAGGTCAGCTGGGCTTTCAGGCAGAACTGCCTTCAGTTCAGATTTGGAAGCTTTCTCACTAAATATCAACTGAATTCCATCAGGGTTTAAGCGCACACAGAGTAACTCAAATGCTTCAGGAAGAAAGTTTGGTGCTTGGCTTGGGAAAGCCTTTAAGGAAAGGTGCACATGTAGTGTAAAAGAGCTGCTCAGTGCTTGTGAGCAGTGCTCGTTCAGCCCCAAATATTTTATCGTTGCCTGTTTTAAAATAGAAAAGGCTTAAATTCAGAAGGAATCAACAAATTTCGTGTTGCTGGGGTCTTTAAAGCTGCAGATCACTGTGTTCACATTCCTGCTTTTGCTTTTTAAGTGGCTTCATAACGCAGAAGAAGAAGACCAGTGTGCAGAAATCTGGTGAATCTCTTATAAAGGAAGTGCAGCAGCTGTTGGAAGTTGATGCAAGAAGTGATACAGAAATTCTCTTAGGGTAGCTATGCCAACTTTGGATGTTTTTTTCCAAAAATTAAATTGCATGAGCAGCTCCATCAGCTGAAATAGCTCTATTCTTTTATGAATGAAGGAAGTTTTCATGTACTTCCAAAGTGGATTGGGGTTTTCTTCCCCATTTCATTCTGAAACAAACTGAAGGAGAAAAGAATATATTGCCTGAAGTCCTGGAGCAAAGAGAGAGTGAGTGGTTAGAAATATGACTGCAAAATGGTACTGAATTATAGTACAGTATTTCAGTTTAGTAAGTAGATGCTACGATGCATTCTCTGCTATTCCTCTAAGACCAGCTACAGCTCATATGGACTAAAAAAGTGTCTGTGCTTATGCACATTTCTGTTACTGAATCACCCAGGGAGGAGTTTAGTTCATCATTACTGCATGGAAATGAAATTCATTGTTATTAAGATGTAATTAATGTGTCAAAGGTTCCTTCTAGTCACCAAGAGCTTGTGCTGTCCCACTAAGCAGTGCAGCAACACCCTCAGCACGCCTGGGATCTCCAGGAGTGGCACATCTTGGTGTTCTGCATGGAATTTTTGGAATTTTAATAACAAATCCTTAATATTACTTTATGAAAACAGGGGTTGTAAACACAGCAAAAAGCCTGCAGCTGTAACAGCACAGGAATCATCCCAGCGACCTCTGAGCTATGCTCAATAACAACCTGACTTTGTTTGGCTGTATGATTTATTTAATTTTTTTTTTTTTGGTCTTGGACATGAAAATTTGTGGAGTTCTGTAAGGATTGAATAGAACTTTAAGTGGGAATTAGCAGGTTTGTGTTTTTTTTCTTTCCAGAGGGGTTTTTAGTTGGTGATCTTGGATCTCAGATTTGTCTTTTGCAGATGGGGACGATGCAGTCATCCCTGTGTGTTTGGGATCAGTGGGGTTGGAACAACAAGGCGTAGTGCTCCACATCCCTCAGTGGCATCTGAGTGTTCTGCAGTGATGCTTTAACCAAAGTCCTGCCTCTACTGTGTGTTCCTCATTCTTTTCTACCCAAGGGATCCTCTCTTGAAAAAAAACTTCAGTGGGCACCCAGAGGAGGGGGGTGAGAGGATTTGCTGTGATCCTTGGTGCAGGAATACTGATGCCTGTGTAGGCGATGGGTTGGTTTTACACAATGTGTGTGCATAAATGCACATATTTTTATTAACCAGCATGGTAATGGTTGGCCAGCTGCCTGGAAACTGTTCTAAACTGTACCCAGAGAGGGAGTTTGTGAAAAATACATTAGTGCATACGGATGGCGTGTTCTTTTAGCAGCTCTCTGCTTTCCACTCCATTATAAATATTTACCTTGATTCATCAGTCCTCAACAATTGCTTTACTGGCTGTCCTTGGCAAGAAGCTAACATTCAGACTGTGTATATTTAAGCATACTGGACCACACTGGTGGTTAGGTAATTAAATCTGAAATTATTGGAGGTGGGCTGTTAATAGCAAAAGCTGTTCTTAGGAATACCACGTTCTTTTAATTTTAATCTTATTACCTTCTCTATTTTTTTCTCCACAATCCTTCAGGTCCCAAGCCTCTGTGAAGATCTCCTCTCTTCTGTTGATCAGCCATTGAAGATTGCACGAGATAAGGTGGTAGGAAAAGACTATCTATTGTGTGACTACAACAGAGATGGAGACTCATATAGGTGAGTTCCTATCCCAAGAAACGAGCTAACTGGTTTACTTTCTATGTCAGAGTATTGAAGTCCCTTCTCCCTCTTATCCTTATCCAAAAAAGGGGAATTTTAATGATATTAAACTATATTAAAACTCGGTGATAAATCTGGGACTGTTTCAAATCCTGTTCTCTTGAGTAAAAGAATACTTCCACTAACTGTGGAAGTAGTCCTTAGTGTTTCCCTGATGCAAAAGACACAAACATCTTCGTTACCTGACAACTATAGAATGCTTTGCTTTCAGACAACATGCTTGTATGGCCTCTAATCTGATGACCTTTGCAGCTCAGGTCCCTGTCTGTCTGTCTCAGAAACAAGATATGTTTTATCCTAGAAATCCCAGGACTTTGTGTGTTTTCTGTACCAAGATCTGTAGTCATTCACTCAAGCCTAAAATCTGATGTTGTTATCCTGTTAAAGGGCTGACACTAACGGGTTCCTCTTAGGCTTCCTGTAGCACAGGTCTGTCTGAGGATTGGAACCAATTGGATCTCCAGAACTGTGGTGTGAAATTAAATCACCTCTTATTGCAAGGTTGTAAAATGTTTGGAATGGCTGACAACAGAATAAAATGATGATTCAGGCAGCAAGTTTAAATAAAAGAATTATTGGTTTGTACAAAGTAGTGTGGACTTGCCAGCTGGGAAAGCTTCTTTCAGTTGTGTTTTCAAGGGGTTGTTCTCATTTTGGATGTGCAATGTCATTAGTTCTCAATGAAAATCTTGGCCCCAGCTTTTAGTGAAGGAAAGGAATCCCTTTCTACCAAAATAGCTAACTTATTTTGAGAACTGTAGACAAAGACAATGAAAATATTTGAACAACATGAGCTTTAGATAATTATAATACATTTCAAAGTGGAAAGAGCTGTAATAATATGATGAGTATTCAGTATATTGGCAGCCACTTTGAATGCAGTCTCTCCTTTTATGCTTTTCTTCCATACCTTGCCATTAGGATGATTATATTTCAGCAACCAATGCTTAAAGCTATTTGTTTTCCTTTCTCCATTGCCTGCCTTTTGTTAATGTCTGCAGCGTTGGTGCCATAGTTGCAGATGTTTTAATAAAGAATTACAAAGCTTGTCCAGAAGCCTTTGTGAATATTGCATCACCTGGCTTTTGCTCTTTTCTCTTAACGAAGGCTGCTACACCATGAAGTAATGAACACCATCCATCTTCTGTCCTGAGTTAACAGCTCAGCTGTTCCACCTCCTCTTCTGGTTCCGATTAGAGGCTTAGATTTTGTGTTCCCTTTCTGGTTTGGTGTAGTAGCTTATGTTTCTAGTGCTAACAATTGGAACTGCTTTGCAGTAAGAGTTTAGCTTTTCTTTGCTTCGTGGTGGTGATTTATGTTCATTTGGCCAGAAAGTTTCAAGAATTCTGTTCCAAGTTGGAATACCAGAAAATATTTTGACTTTTCTTTTTCTTTGGCTCAGGCCATCACTGCAGACACAGGTAAGTTTATGAAGGATTATAACTTAGCTGGTTTCGATCACAGAAAAGATACTTAACTAAACTGAAAGCACATCTGTCTGAAGATGACTGATACAGAGAACACAGATTCATTTTGCCCTGTTAGTGTGAGGAGCAGACTGCTAATGGATGTGGAGTTTGACATCTGGGTTGCATCTGGGTTGTGGCCAACTGTAAATGACAGAGGGCTTTTTTTAAGTATATCCTCTATTGCAGTGGGCCAAGAGGTAAGAAAGTCTCTGAGGTGAAGTGTCTGCTCATGTTCTGAAGGGTGCTATCCTAACATTGAAATCTTCTCCAGGCCACCACAAGATGAATGCACAGCTGCATCCTTTCTGGCACATGCAAGAGGATGAAGCATACCACAGATAATGTATTTCTTGTGGGTCCTTCATGAGATGTTTTCTCCCTGAGGCTGTGATGTGTTTCTAACAGTCTCTTTGGATCTTTGTCAGACTGTTGACATGAGCGTCTATCACCAGAGGCTCAGAAAAATGGAAAAGGCACTTGTTAAACTGTATTGCAGCATGCTGCAACAACTAATAACACTTGCCCCTCCCCATTCCCCAACACTCCATGTATAATTACTGCATTTGGAAACCCTTTCTTTATGGTTAGTTCCATGCTTGCCTCTGAAATTTGCTCAGTCTCTTCCCTACTGAACAGATACTTAAATAGTAACAGGGAAGCAGGAGGACTTATTACATAATGAGGTTTCAGAAAAGGTATTTTATTTCTTTGCAGTGAATAGCCATAATGTATAAATTATTGGCATTAAAGAATGCTGTTCTTTCTCTGAGGCTTTTGGTTGAAGTGTTCTGGATTGCAGTGATTCTCCCTTCTGGAACTGATTGGCCTCAGCTCTGTTTCACAAAGTAAATTCCTTCCTTCAACAGAAAGCAAAAGCCTTTGAAAACCAGGCAGCGTGAACATGTGCATGTGTTGATCCAGTCCATGCCTGTGTTCAGATAATGCTATTCATACCTCATAAATTCTGAAGTTGTTACTGGGAAGTGGCTCTTGCACTAATGTAATCAATTAGACCAGAATCGAGGAGGAGTGTTTTATACTTCTAAAAGCTTTTGATATTTCCACAGAGGTTTTTAGAACCACGCACTAGGTGAGAAGTCACAAGAAGTGCTGCAGTCACCTGCAGAATGCTACGTCCCCAATTACTGCACCCTTTGAACTAATCATCAGTTTTCTTCTCTTGGAGACTTTACTAATTGCATTTCTTTTAGTACAAATCCAAAGATTTGAAGATGTTCTGTGGACAGCTGAGCCTTGTATGAATTCTGCAGGAAGCGTGGAGCTTCCTCACTGGGAATCCAGCTTTGTAGGCCTTTTTTGAGCAGCTTTACAGTTTGACTGGGTGGCAGCTTTGAGAAAAAACAGGGATGTTTGTCCATTCTGATGACTCATAACCTCACCTGTTTCATGGGGGCATCGTTCGAGGAAATTAATATCCTAATTGCTGAGCCACGCACAGTTCACTCCTTCCTTGTATTAAGGAATGTGATTTTCTTTGTGTTGGCATGGATCAGACCATGAAGTACATCCTGGAGTCTCTCTTGGATCTTCATCTGTCAGTAGTTTCACATTTCATCATATTATCACGCTGCTGCTTATATGATCAGCCTCTTATGTGTGTATGCTTGCAGGCAATTCTATGAGTGCTCCTGTAATAAAAGGAAGGGTTGGGGGCATATCAAAAGGCAGTGGAATCCACATTGTGAAAGCAGACCTTTTTTTCCTCTTTTTTTCAATATATAGGACTTCAAGGTCTCTGACTTTGTCCATACATTCTCATTCAAAGTATGTTTGATCACTCCATTAAATGGAATCCTTATGGGGAATTTGGTGCCAACAACACTGAAGCCTGTTAACTGAAACAAAAAGCATTCTCTTTTAGGGAAATTAGAGGTCTGACTTTTGAAATTTAAGTGCCCTTGTCCATCTGTCTTTCTTCAAATAGCCTCCATTAAAGCTTTTAAATGAGTTGTGAGTACTCTTCCACAAAGAATTAAAAAAAAAAAAAAAATTATGGGGTTGTGTTATGAATTTTTTTTAGGTGAAGTTGCTTCTGGCTCCAACTATAACGGGTTGAAAATGCCACAGTCTACTTGCTAGAAAGACTCAGTTGCTGGCCTTCCCTTCAACATCATTCCAGCAGCCTGCAAAAGAGATCTGAGCAAGAAATCAGAGAATGGCTTGGGTTGGAAGGGATATTCAGTATCGTCTAGTTCCATCTCACCTGCTGTGGATGGGGTTGCCACCGACTGGTTCATGTCACAGTCTTGTTTCTCACCATTTTGGATGCAGAAGCTTCCACCTAATACACCTCTCAGCTTGTTTTGACCTTTGCAGTCAACTCAGTTAAGAGGTCTTACTCATCTTTGGGCTGTAAATGCAGTCCTGAGTCTAGCAATGCCTCTAAGTTCATTATTACCTACGTTTTCCCCGTGCTACAAACTCAGTAGCTCTTTGTCTTATGTACTTGGAAATAAGCATCTGCCTGACTTAAGGAAACAAAGCACGAAGGGGCTGCTGATCTGATCACAAACCAGTCAGTGTCAGAGGTGGGAAACTGAAGCTTTTTACAAGCATCTGGTATCACAAGTCTCATTTATCTCAATCTTGCATCAGTTTCTCTAAGAATCTCCTTTAAATATTTGCAGTTCCCTTACTTCACACAGAGAAATCTCATTTTCAGGTGCTGTTTTTAATCCATTCTCAGTAACAGAACTGTAATTTGCACTTCATGTATTTCCTCTGTGCCTTTAGCATTGATTCTTTGCTCGTCCACCTGGATCTCTTTGGTGTAGGCTGGCTTTTAGCATGCTGCCCAAAGGGTGCAGGTGTCCCATTTGGGAACCTTACTTTTTGGGGGATTTTTTGCAAATCTCTTCTGGATTTCAGTGGGCTGGTAGGTAAATAAATGTTAGCTGTCTTCTTCAGAGCAAGTGAGTTTTAAGCAACTATTTTAAAATGAGAACCACCAGCTGAAAAACATTGCCCTGGGTGGATGTGACATGGTGATTTAGCTTTTCCTGATCTCTCACCTATTTGTTCAGATGTGGTCGGGAGGAGAGGGGTGAAGTGCTGTGAAAGCACAAGGGCAGCATGAAACAGGGCCTGTTCTTTGTGCTTTGCATTAAACATGTCAGAACGAGTTACTTTCCTGAGAAATGAGTAACAAATGGCTACTGAGGAAAAAGCCCTTACGTATGGACTGCATTAAGACCTAGCGTTAGTCCACTGGAGTATTCTGAAAACTGAGTAGGCAAAAGGTGGAGGTACCTTTCCTTAAACTAGCAGTGATATATGTAGGTTGGTTATCCCCAGGGGAAATGAAGAGGAGAATGCAACTTTGCAGAAAGGGAGTTATAAAAGCCTCAAGCAGATGGGCAAAGGGTTGCATTAATCTTTTAATACCAGATCTTTCATTAGGAGCGCAAAATCTCTTCCACACCTGCAGAAATCATACAATAAAAACTGCAGCTTTACAGACCCTGTTAAACCCTGTGCATTGTTCAAACATTTTCCTACCATTGTGCTAAAAGGCAAGTTTATTTGAAAGCAAACCAGTGGAGGAGAATTTGGACCTTAATTGTAGACAGCAAAGTTTGGCTTGAATACTATCAGATGCCAAACAAGCTGCACAGTGTATTTGTATGGAAATAATTTTAAATACCTGATGTGCAACAGCTGAGGCTGAACCTTTGAATACTTAAGAAGGAGCAGATGCAAACACAAGTATAGTTTTATTTATATAGCATAAACCCAAAGGATGCTCGCCATTGTAGGACAGGTCAGACCCACCACTCTGCCCTCTCTGAGTTTCCCTGTTGTCTAACTCTCTGCTTTCCTTGTCTCCTTGGCAGATCACCGTGGAGTAACAAGTATGATCCTCCCCTGGAAGACGGTGCCATGCCATCTGCTCGCCTGCGCAAGCTGGAGGTGGAAGCCAACAATGCCTTTGACCAGTATAGAGACTTGTATGTCAGTTCTACCATACACAGCCCTCTAATTTCTTTCTTTCCTTCAGCAGCCATGCAATATATATATTGGTCTGAAATGCAGTGCATCTGAGGGTGGCATACCTGTGTATAGTGGAGGCAGAAGGGTAGGCAGCAGCTGATCTTCTGCTGGAGAACATATCACCTGTGATTTCACGTTAGGAAAACATGATCCAATTTGCCAGCTGATGCTAACAGCAGAAGCTGAAGTGCTTTCTTGGCTCTCTCATCTCTTGAATAGATTAATGGCATCTTTGTCCTGAAATGACTTTGTTCTCTTTGATCTTGACTAAGTTCAGTCCTAAAGCATCTGCTTTTTCTATTCCCTCAAGACAGTACTCTCTCAAAATATCTACCTATACAGCAAAAGTTTGCACGTCTTGTCAGATTGCAGGCGTTGATTCTGAAATGTGGCAGTGGTGTGGGGAATCATATACTTCTGCAAAGACCATTCTCTGATGGTTGTGTTTCAGGCCTTGTCTAGTGAAAGAGATGTAAAGGGAAGGAACTAGTGGAAATGTGTGAGAACAGTGTAATTAGGCTGTATCTTTTTAAAGCTGCAGTTGCAGTTTTTGCAGGTGACTTGTCAGTTAAGCAGCCTTTCTAAAAGGTGGGAATGCACTGGTCTTGCATTGCATTCACAACTGTCTTCTGTATAGCCTGTGTTCTTCTAAGCAGCAATGGGATGAAAACAGTAATGTTAAATCTAAAAAGCAAAGATGTGCTGGAAAGCAAAAGAAACTTACTCATTTACCAAAGTTGGGATGCTCTTACATTGGAGATCCCTAGTGACCATGAAATAGATCAACAGCCTTCATTGCTTCAAGTTCCACCCAGGTGGAGATAACTTAGATGTAGTTAATCATGTGTCACTTGAAATTTACACTATTTTAGTGCTAACAAAGGCAGCTTAGAAAGAAAAAATATTCTTGCTGATTTTCTACTCATTTTAAGATGTGATTTGATGTAAGTGTTGCCTGTCCAGACATATAGTCTTCTCTTATAGATACAAATTCTACTTTTCTTGCAATATGTGTAGGTATCCAACTTCTGGTAACAGTTGTTATAGGTATCTGAATTCACTGAAAGATTGCATTTCTGCATATGTAGCAAATAGAGGTTTGCAGTTACTCTTCAGGTGCAGAACAGACTCAGACAAGTAGGGGATTTTGTTCATTAAGGTGAAAATGAGTAGCTTTCTGGAACAGAGATTGTTTGAATCCCTCTGTGATCACTGACCATGAAGTCACAGCTGGATACAATAACTCCTCTAAAGAAGTTTCATTTGCAGAAAGGAAAGCTCAGTACAGCCTGCCCTCAGACTTGGTGAATCCGCTGATCCCTGCTCAGCATGGGGTACAATAGTAGCATTAATATATTGTATGGAGGTAAAAGGAAAGATTTTATCAAATTTCATCTTTCAGTTAGCCAGTCCAAGTTTGGCAGGCAATACATTGTGAGAGGGATGCAGGAGGGATTGCTCACAAAGACTTCATTCTTGTGGCATCAGCCAGAAATGACTGAGGCATTATGGCTTGCAGTACAGACTAGATAAGAGCATCAGTCAGCAGAACACACTTTGATGCACGTTAGGATCTCAAAAATGTGTCAAAAAAAAAAGAGGAAAGGGATGGCTTATGTTTTGCTGAGTGGTGTAAAAACTGTAGTATTTTTGGAAAGAATTTGCAAAGTTAGGGAAACTTAACCCGACCGCTTGAAGGGTTCCTCATGCTTGAAATTGGAAGTGATTTGTACTTTACCTACAACAGAGGTCTGGATAGAAACATGCTTTTGTTCTTGTAGTTGGACTCTGCAGTTTCCTTAACAATTGGATTTGGTATTTTGACAGCAAAAGCTTAATTTTTACTTGGAGATTGGAGGGAAAAAAATGAGGTGGGGATAACAAGTGCCAGCTTTTCACACTTCTGCTGCCAGCAGGTCAGGTTGGGAATGGCTGTAACAATTACTGGCATAGCAGCTGCTGAAATCATGTGGGAGCACAAAGTGTGGGGAAGCTTGTAGTGGGAAGAAGATGGCAATTGCAGTGATGTCATTTCCATGGTCTGCTGGAGCTGGAAACTAATGGTATATCCCCATTGCAAAGGTCTGAGTGCTGTCGATTCAAGGTGTCACTGGCCTTCTGGTTTGGTCTCTAGGCATTCATTCACAGAAAACACCAGGCTCCTGTGTGCTTGAACTTCCTATAAGGAATGTTTCTGCTAGGAGGTGTTTCAAAGCACTTTGAGGCTTTGTTTCTTAGCCCTGCTGGGCTGAATCACTGATTCTTGTGCTTGCACTTCTCCAGGCGCACGCGGAAAGACATTACACTGTATGGGCTTGTCGTTGATTGTAGGGCTGAAAAAGGAAGATTGTGTGCAGAGGCGAGTTCAGGCTGCCAAAGCAGTTTGTGTTAATTGCACCAGAAGAGCCTTTGCACGAGGAAGCAAAGTCTAAAAACAACAACAAAAGCAAACCCAGCCAACAACCTGCAGCACGCATGTTTGTCTGGCATCGGATGGTAGCCTGCAGGTGGGTGTGAGCAGGTCAGGATGAATGACCTTCACCTGAGACAAAATACTGACCATAATAAAGGGATAGAGCATTTCCTACCCTGGCCTAAATTAGTACATTGGAAGTACTTGCTTCTGAGATGTTGCTCTGCATGGTGCTCAGCTTTAGAATACATCTTAGAGCAGTCACTCCAGCAGGGAGCGGAAGAGGAGGATGTTTACTTTCCAAAGAAAAATAAGTACTTTAGAGAATATGTGCTGTTCCCACTCAGCTCTCAGCACGCAGTCTAAGCTTCCTCTGGATTATCTCCCTTTTTACCTTCGTGCACAGTAAGTGATAATATCTCACTTCGTTTTGAGTCTCTTCCAAAACCTCAGATAGTTTCAGCTTTTCCTCGTGTCGGTCCCATTTGGCCCACATACCATTCCTTTCTAGATTTCTGTTGTAATCAGGTGTGGTTAAGTATCCACCTACATCTAATGAGTCATCAGCATGGATCTGCCATTTCCCAAGGGGTTGACACCTGCTAGTGTGGGTGGTTTGAGGAAAGCAGCCTGTTGTGCATTTGTTAACGATCGGTGTGAAATAACCCATTCACATTTGTTTGCTGGTGACGTACATTTGTGTTTTGCCCCTAAAAGCTTATTGAGCAGCACATGCAGTGTGAAAACAACTTTGGAGGAGTCTTGTAGAGTCCCACAAAGTAGTTTCAAATCGTGAAAGCTTGAGAAAAGCTTTCCTGGAGTGTGGAAGCTTCCTAACCAGTGCTATGTTATTTCCTCTAAACATCACTAGACTGCCCACCTTTTATTTCTGGAAGCATATTCGTGTCTCCTTGGGTTGAAGAGGAATTATACTCATTTTTTTGCTTTCTCAACAAGTGTATTTATCAGTTTGACCAAAATGCATGTCACTTTCCCAAAAAAAAAAACCAATTTTAATTTTGATCTCCTGCTGCCAGGTTTAACTCAGACACTGCCTGAAGCTAATGCCCTGGTATGTTTTTGTTCAGCAGGTTATTATTCCCAGATGGAAGCCTAATATCTCATACCATTCAGTTAGGGCTTTGGCTTTCCACTTCCAATATCGTGAAGATAATTTCTTCAAACACATGGTTGTAATTTATTGCCCTTTGCTTGACGTGTGTGTGCGCAATTGATTGAAATCAAAGCATAATGAGGACCAGGGCGGCTGGGTAAATCTATTTTAGATTCAGCATTCTGTTGTTTTGGGTTGGAGATAATCAGTGCTTTAATTAAGTAATCTAATCGCTCTTTGTTGTCTGGAAGAAATCGTTTCTGAAGTGATTAAATAGACCTCCCTGGGGAAGGATGTTGCTGCTCTGGGTGTTTCTACAAACAGGATGATTTTTGGCAACTCCAGACTAGTTTAGTAAGCATACATACATTTAGAGAGCTGTCCTTACCTCTTCATTTCTCAGGCTAAGTTGAATTTCTTGGTGGTTTTGATTTTTAACAGCTGTACTGAAAAAAAGAAATCCAACCTCATGTTGATCATTCAGCTTCTGTAAATATTTTTATTGATTAAGACTTTGAGTTATTTCAGCAGAGTAAGCCACGAAGCCTTGAACTTCTGCTTCTGTCTTTGTTTAGATGTTGATCCATTTTCAATTTGTTATGTTAGGGCTCTGGATGAGGAATTTAATGGGAGTGGAAGGAGGTCTGGGAGAGGATTGACCTCTAAAATATGTCTTTATTGTGCGTAATCCTCTTGTTATTGAATTTTGGATTGGAATTGTGTCTGAAGTGGAGTTAAAAACAAGCTGGCACCTCACCTTTTAACTTTCAGAGTACTCCATTTACTCTTATTGGTGTTTTATGTCACTGAACAGCCTGGGTTCTCTCTTCTTTGGAGATCATAGAAGTAGAGTCATAGGGAGAATAGAGATGTCTCATTTTGGGGCTCTGTGCCATCGTCTCTATCACCAAATGCCTTCAAATCCTGGAGCTCTGGGTAGCTTTCCCCTTTTTAGCTGTTCTTATGTTTTTTTGCATCCTTTTGCATGATCTGATAGGCTCCGAGATCCTCCAAGTGGATTTCTTTTATCTGAGTTTGAAAATATTTTGCTCTGCTGGCAAGGTTGGTAGCAATTACTTTATTTACCAAGATGATCTATTTTGACTCATTTTGCATATGGAGCAGTGCTGATTCCACCATGCTGATAGAAGCAGAGGAGCAGATGGAGGAGGTGCAGCTCACAATTGGGTTCAGCACAGCCCTGCTTCCAGCTCACCAAGGGACCAGGCAGCTGCATGCTCTCTCTGTAAGCATTCTGTCTGTGTTTAGATGTAAACCTACTTTGCCTAAACTGAAAACCCATGGAAAGCTTTGAAGTGACTTTATTGCCATTAGCTCACTGTTCCTCATTAATGGTTACTAGCCCTTTGTGCTGGCTTTCTCTTGGGCTCAAGAGTTGCTGTGGTTTGCACAGCGAGAGCCATACAGAT